GCCGGGCATGGTAGCGCACGCTCGTAATTCTGGCTACTTGGAAGGCTGAGTCGGAAGGATCGCCGGAGCCCAGCAGGTCGAGGCTGCGGTGGCCAGGAGCGGCCACTGCACTCCAGTCTGGGCAACAGAGTGAGACTCCAACTCAAAACAAACAAACAAACTGTTATACACATAAACCACAATCCCTGAATCATCTCCTCATCCTGTTTCTGCAACCAAGAAAGTTATCATTCATTGTAACATCCTGCTCAGGGGCCAGGCGAACAGAGGTGATGTCACAACAAAGAAAAGTTGTTCAGTGTATAGTTTGGGAGGATGCCAGGGGGTGGATTATAATTCACAGACAAATTTTAATCCACAGTCTATAATTTGAAGGTTGGGTCAATCATAATCTGGGAGGAAATACACTTACTTCCTTTTTAGATAAAGGAAAAATTAGCTCTTGTTCCCTACAAAAATTCTCAAAGTAGAAAATAATGAATAATATTCTTGAAGCCAGGACTGAATTATCAAAGTCAAGGAAAGAGGAGCTTAAGAGAGATTAAGCAACCTGGGATACAAATGGGTTCAAAATCCTCTCCCTCAAAACACCTGGCCAATCCTCTAGATACCAGTGACTTATTTACCTTGGGATGAGAGAAAAATCCTTTTGCCATCAAGCTGAAGAAGCAGCCTTCTTTTTCATTAGCCACAAATAAGGCTGCCACATTTAGGCCACTTATTAGGAGATCAACAAGGCGATCAGACTACTCCTGTCACTAGTGACTGAATAGGGCTTAGTCAATTAAATTACTTCTTCTGCCCATTTCAGCAGCCCATGTTTGGATTTTTAGGCCATAGGGTCACCTTGGGAAGAGAAGGGTGATTCCAGGGCTGGAAGAGACGAGAATGAGGGACGAAAATGCCTTCAGGGTCAGGCTATCTTAGCTCTAGAATATCAGCGCTCTAGATCTAGCATTTTGAACAGAGACTTCTGAAAGCAGCATTACCTTTCGGCGAACAGTGCACCGGTGACACATCCACTCCCCAGGAGGCAACATCTCTTCACTCAGTGGAGGGTTACTGCAGGGAAAAGGCAAGGGCAAGACTAAGTAACTAAGATGACATAAGCCTTTGATGCAGCAGGAAAAGCCTAGCTAGGTCTGGCACAAAGCTGTGTGTCCCTAAACTCCTATTCTGGCCAGTCCTGTAGCACTGCTAGGGTACTCTCATTCTTCAAAATGCTTACTTGGCATCATTTATAATAACTTAAGGAGTGAGTATCCCTTCCCACACTGTAGAAACAGAAGCCAAATATAGAGCCATTAATACTGGCCTTATAGAAAAAGGTATTCTGAATAGTTTGGCACCCAGAGAGTCATTCCCGACCTCTGCACCATGCTAATATAACCACTGAAGGTCATCCTTCATACTGTTTTTAAAGGTCTGCTAGTGTATGTTCAAGCTCTTCTGCTGGCTGTTCAAAGCCCTGTTACACAGTCCCATTCCACCTTTCCATGCCCCTTGAAGTACCCTTCTGGCTACTCAAATCGAAGACTTGCTATCTCTTCTCTACAATACCTTCCCCTCTAGAAACCTATGCCTGTCAAAACTCTATTCATCCTTTAACTTCCTCAGTCAGCTTGTGGTAGACTAAAGATAGCTGTAGATTCTTTACTCGGCCTCCCATCCACAGGTAGTTTCCCTTCTCTTGAATTGTGCTTGTCTTATGACTTTTTTTTAACCAAAAGAATGTAGCAGAGATGACAATGTTGTAACTCCCAAAGATGGGTCTAAGAGATCTACAGATTCTACTTTTTTTTTTTTTTTGAGTTAGAATCTCATTCTGTCACCCAGACTGGAGTGCAGTGGCTGCTCCTGGCCACTGCAGCCTCGACCTGCTGGGCTCTGGCGATCCTTCCACCTCAGCCTTCCAAGTAGCTGGAACTACAGGCGCGTGCTACCACGCCCTGCTGATTTTTGATTTATTGTAGAGATGAGGTCTCGCCAAGTTGCCCAGGTGGGTCTCGAACCCGCGGGCTCAGGCAATCCACTCACCTCAGCCTCCCAAAGTGAGGAATTACAGGCTGAGCCACCGAGCCCAGCTAGATTCTACTTTTATATGCTTGGAATATCCATCTCAGAGCTCTGCTGTCATGCTGTGAGAGGCCACACGGAGAAGACTTGAGGTGCTCCAAGCAATAGCTTCAGCTGAACTCCACAGCAACAGGCAGCACCAACTACTGCTATGTACGTAACCTTGGACAGACCACCATAGTTGAGCCTCCAAGAGACTGCAGTCCCAGTCACATCATATGGAACAGAAAAACCACCAAAGCCGGCTGTGGTGACTCATGCCTGTAATCCCAGCACTTTGGGAGGTGCAGGCGAGAGGACTGCCTAAGCCCAGGGGTTTGAGACCAGCCTAGGCAACTTGGCGAGACCTCGTCTCAACAACAAATGTTTTAAAATTAGCCAGGCATGGTGACGCATGCCTGTAGTTTCAGCTACTTGGAAGGCTAAGGTAGAAGGATTGCCTGAGTCCAGTAGGTTGAGGCTATGGTCTGTGAGTATGCCACTGCACTCCAGCCTGGGTGGCAGAGTGAGACTCCAACTCAAGAACCCAAAACAAAACAAACCATCCAACTGAGCCCTCAGAATTGTAAGAGATAATAGCTAGATTCTGTATCAAGCCAGAGTTTTGGGGTATATAACCCAAGGCAGCTCTCTTCCACGAGGTCTCTCCATACTCTCTCATGCTTTGCCTTGTGCAACAATTATCTTATTTCTTTCTCTTTTTTTTTGTTAGAGTCTCACTCTGTCACCCAGACTGGAGTGCAGTGGCATGTTCCCGGCCACTGCAGCCTCTCTGGTGATTCTTCTGCCTCAGCCTTCCAAGTAGCCGGAATTACAGGCATGCGCTACCACATTCGGCTGATTTTTTGATTTATTGTAGAGATGAGGTCTCGCCAAGTTGCCCAGGTGGGTCTTGAACCCACGGGCTCAGGCAATCCACTCGTCTTGGCCTCCCAAAGTGCTGGGATTACAGACTGAGCCACCGAGCCAGGCCTTAATTTTTTATTCTTTGTAGAGATGAGGTCTCGCCAAGTTGCCAGGGCGGGTCTCAAACCTGCGGGCCCAGGCAATCCACTCACCTTGGTCTCCCAAAGCACTGGGATTATGGGCTGAGCTACCAAGCCCGGCCATCTTATTTCGTTTATTAGAGGGACCAAGACAATGATCGGATCTCTTCCCTCTTTGTCTCTTTATAACATAGAGGTTGTGCATACAGTAGTCACTCAGTAAGTCAATAATGAATCAAAACTAGAGTTGTGTAGGGCTAGGCCTTACAGATTCTCCAGGTTATCCAATTCCATTAAGGTTATCCCAAAAGTCACATAAGACTTTATAAATCCTTGGAAGGGTCACATTTATAATGCCTGTTAAACAGTGGTTCCCAAAGAGTGGTCCCTAGATCAGCAGCATCAGCATTATGTGGGAATTTATTAGAAATACAAATTCTAGCGGGGCTCGGTGGCTCAGTCTGTAATCCCACGCCTTTGGGAGGCTGAGGTGAGTGGATT